CTTTGTTTGATGAGCTGAAACCCATTGCTTTCTCGATAATACTATTGTGGTCATCATTTCTAATCACGGCACCGAGTTTAATGAGATCAGAAGTACCAGCAAGGGCGCTAACACCAATTTCAGTCGTAACCAACTTCAAGTACCCATGGTTATCAATTGCCCTGGTAAAGTACAGACCGTCTTTACTCATCGTTATACCCAGTTAGTTTTTTAAGTCACTGGAGAGGGAGAGGGAGAGGGAGAGGGAGAGGGAGAGGGAGAGGGAGAGGGAGAGTAGAAGAGCAGCCAGGGTAAGCAGTAGGTGATGAGGGCAGAAGGAACGATTTGGTCACAGATTGACGGGCAGGAATAGTTCAGGTTCATCTCTCCGTGCACAGAACTCACTTGCCATTGCTGTAGGGCGAATAAGAATGGTCAAGCTTGCGTCAAGTTTTGCGGATAAGCGAAAGAAGATGAGCAAGTCGAAGGTGGTGGGGAAGAGTCCCCAAGGGGACAAGGCAGGGAAGGACAAGGGGAAGGACAAGGGGAAGGACAAGGGGAAGGACAAGGGGAAGGACAAGGCTGGTGAACTCGACTCGGAAGACGAGCAAGCTGAGGAGGTGAAGGAGAGCCAGTGGCTGGGAAGAGCTCTTCGCAGGCAGAAGACAAGGGACCTGATGGAGCAGAAGTCGAAGAGCAAGAAGAAGAAAGACGGAGTGAAAGAAGGAAGCGATGGAGACGAGGAAGACGAGGAGGAGGAGGAAGAGGTGGTGATGGAGGAAGAAAAGCTGGCGAACTTTCAGTTTGACGACGACGACGCCCTGAACGAGCTCGCGCCCAAGGGATGGGACGTGAGCGATATGGTAAAGGTGGAACACAAGCGAGACCCCAAGGGCATCCTGACCTCCCTGGATGCCAAGATTGCCAAGAGGAAGGGTGCAGCAGAAGCGGAAGAGGAAGGGGAAGGAGAGGAGGAGGAAAGCGAGGAGGAGGAAAGCGACGCCTCGCACATGAGCGGAGAGGAGGATGGAGAGACAGCTCTTCATGAGAAGGAGAGCGACAGTAGCGGCAAAGAGGACGACGAGGAAGAGGACGACCTCCAGGAGGAGACGCAGACAGAGGCTTCAAAGAAGCAGGAGGAGGAGGAGAAAGAGCGTCTGGCGTTTCAGAGAAGGATGGAGAAGGAGAGGGAGTATTTCGACGATGCTCCGGTGCAGTCAGCCGAGACCTCCTCCTTCCAGGAGCTCCATCTCTCTCGCCCTCTCCTCAAGGCTGTCTCCTCCCTTGGCTTCATCAAGCCCACAGTCATCCAATCCATGGTGATTCCCGTCGCTCTGCAGGGCAAGGACGTTTGCGCCTCCTCTCGCACGGGGTCTGGCAAAACTGCTGCCTTCGCCCTCCCCATCCTCGAGCGCCTCCTCTACCGGCCAAGAAGGGTGGCGGCGACCCGTGTGCTGGTCTTGACGCCGACCCGCGAGCTGGCGGTGCAGGCGCATGCGATGATGGAGAAGCTCGCCGCCTTCACAGACATCCGATGCTACATCGTGATAGGAGGCGTCAAGAACCAGCTGCAGGAGACGGAGCTGAGGAAGAAGCCCGACGTGGTGGTGGCGACGCCGGGAAGGATGATCGATCACCTGAGGAACGCTCCTGGGATCGGGTTCGAGGCGCTGGAGATCCTCGTGCTCGACGAGGCAGATCGTCTCCTTGAGATGGGGTTCACGGAAGAAGTGCAGGAGCTGGTCAAGATGTGCCCGCAGCAGCGGCAGACCATGCTATTCTCCGCCACCATGACCCACGACGTTGACAAGCTCGCCGCCTTCTCCCTCCGCCGTCCCGTGCGAGTGACAGCGGACGGCTCGATTCGCACAGACGAGACGCAGGGGACGCTGAACAAGGTGGCGGTGCCGAGCTCCCTGCTGCAGGAATTTGTCCGTATCCGCAAGGAGCACGAGAAGGACAGAGAGGCGATCCTGCTCTGCCTCTGCACGCGCACCTTCCACAAGCGCACCATCGTCTTCTGCCGGGAGAAGAGGAGAGCACACCGTCTCCGCATCATCTTTGGGCTGCTGGGGCTGCGGGTCGAGGAGCTGCACGGGAACCTGACGCAGGCACAGCGTCTGGAGGCGCTGGAGAACTTCAAGGAGGAGAAGAGCGACTTCCTGCTGGCGACCGACCTCGCCGGTCGCGGGCTGGACATCAAGGGGGTTGACGTGGTCGTGAACCTCGAGGTCCCTCGTAACCTCGCCGAGTATGTCCACAGGGTCGGCAGGACGGCGCGTGCGGGGAGGAAGGGGCGAGCAGTGACCCTGGCTGACGACAGTCAGCGGACCAAGTCGATGCTCAAGGAGGTCGTTCGCAGCGCTCCTGATGTGGTGAAGAGGAGGGTAGTTCCCCCCGACGCCATCGCCGCCATGAGGAGCCGCATTGAGGAGCTGGAGGCTGACGTGGCAGCGGTGATGGAGGAGGAGGCGGTGGAGCGGCAGATGAGGATCGCGGACATGGAGGGAGAGAAGGCGAGGAACCTAGTGGAGCATGAGGAGGACATCCTGGCCCGCCCCAAGAAGACTTGGTTCCAGAGCAGGGAGGAGAAGCTGCAGGCCCGTGAGTCGAACCCTTCCAGCGGAAGGAGCCAGGACAGGCGCGAGAGGGGCAAGAGGGGGCGGGAAGAGCAGGAAGAGGGAGAGGACGGAGATCCCCCGCAGATCTCCAAGAAGAAGGTGATCGGGAACAGCAAGGCCGACAAGTATGCGGGGATGAACAGGAGGAAGAGGAGGAGGCTGCAGATGCAGGAGGATGACGAGCTGGAGAAGGCTGGGGCCAAGTTCTTCGGCAAGGAGGAGGGCCCGAGGGAAAAGAACAAAGCCCTCTCGCAGCGAGCAGCCAAGTCAGCGTACCGCCATGGTCGACTGGACCCCAAGAAGATGAGGTGAGGAGGAGGAGGATCAGGAGGAGGAGGATCAGGAGGAGGAGGATCAGGAGGAGGATCAGGAGGAGGAGGATCAGGAGGAGGAGGAGGAGGAGGAGGAGCTGACGGTGATCTACAGAGAGGAGGAGAGGAAGTCCAGGAAGGACAAGAAGCGCAAGAACACAGGAGCGAGAGAGGAGCGGCCGGGGAGGAAGGGGCACTCAGACGAGGACATGTTCAAGGAGGCGCTGGAGAAGGAGCTGGGGGAGAGGAGGAAGCCAGCCAAGCTCAACAAGAACAAGACACAGTCCAAGGCTAGCCATCACGGTTTCAAATCCATGAAGAGGATGAAGCGAAGATAAGCGGCAGCGGACCCCACTGAAAGTTCCTCTTAGTAAACTCACTGTCACTGTCCGACATTCGGCCTGGGAAATGTTCCCAAACACTTCCATCAAAGTCTCTTTGCTGTAAAGCACATACACTTCAAGCATTTCATCTGAAGTGCCAGGCGTCCTTGATCAATCCGCATCTTCATTGTTAATGCGCATCGTCAAAAAACTTAGACGCCAACAGAAGGAATCAAATCAAACTCCATGTCCCAGTGAGTCACCGCCGTTCAGTTTGCCAGCCGCTGAGTCACACACATCGCTGCCGCTGCAACTTGACACTGACTGAGGGCGGCAGGCTGGCTGAGTGTCTGATTGCCTCGAGTCTCGGTGGACTCGGCCCGGGAGCCGCTGCCAGGGCCTGAGTACCGTACCGTCCGTCCGACGAGTTGACGGAGAGTCACGGTGCTCGGAGGGCCGGCCGCCGGGGTCGCCACCGGGTCACCGTCACGGCACGGTTGCCGGGTCAGTGCACTGGCCATGCCGGCGGCCGTCCGCCGGCCCGGGCCCAGTCTGAAAACCAGGCCGCCTCCTCGGGCCCCGGCGGAGTATTCTATGATAGCTTCCCGCCGCGCACTCCGGGCCACTGTCGGAACAGGACTTGAAGCTGGACTTGAAGTGACTCCGGTGAGTGAGTGGGGATGAGGGGCCGTGCCGATAGGTCCCGGTGGGTATCGGGGCAGTACTGTTTCAGTCGTAGCGAAAAGCAGGGGTAGGGGTCTTGTGAATCGTACAAGAGTAGGTAGGGTGCCACAAGGAAAAGAATTGAGTGGGGTGATGGAACGTCTTATTTGACGGGGTACTTCGTGCTGTAGGGGTAGAAATGAGGGGGTGGGGTTTTCAAAAAATCTCCTGTGGTCTAGGGGTGGTCTTTCGGGATGTGGGGACGAGGGGTGTGCATCTGGAAACTCCGTACGGTAGGGGTGCTCGTCGTGGTAGGTGCACCGGTACTTTTGATGAAAAACGATGGGGTGGTGGAGAGGTTGAGTGCTGAGGGAAGGGACATGGGGGTGGCATATGCGGAAGGCGAGATGGGCAGGAGAACACCTCGAAATGGGAGGGAGAGAGACTGAGATGGCAGAAGCATGGGGAGAGAGACAGGAGGGAGAGGGAGAAAGACAGGAGGGAGAGGGAGAGAGATGGGAGAAGTTGTCAGAGAGAAAGCACTATCTGTTCTCCTTGATCAGGTAGAAAACAATCTTAGTGATGAATCATTGCTTGCTTACAAACTTTTGACGTGCTAGTTTTCTTGCTTAGGGTCCGTTTGCACAGATCCGAGCAACGTCCAGGTCAGCAGGATGGAATGGAATGGTGCTGGTAAGATTATTGGAATGCCACATGCGATGTTCCGGTGATGTAACATTAAGGAGGGCGAGACTTCGACAGCGTCGAGGAGATGGCGAGCAGGAACAGGACGACCACTGTCAGCCATTCGACATTTCCTGCGCCAGCGGGTTCGAGACCTGAGACAAGAAACGATGCCTATCAAAACTTGAGCAGAGTGCGCTCAAAATCTGCTGTCCCTGTGACAACCTGACTTGGTTCGTAAGATCTACGGGCAGCAGAATCAGAACATGATATTCAGTTTGTCACCCGAGAAGAATCATCGAGATGAAAGAAGAAACTGGTGTCTTGCTCGTCTCCTCTCATTTCTAGAGTTAACCTCCTCATCAGGGATGTTTCTACCAATCGAAATCTTGCTAGCGTTGTGACAGACTTTCACCCCAAGCTGACGGCGGAACCGTCTTCCATTGATTTCGCCTTGTTGGACATGAAACGAGAAAGAGAGCTACACCACGTCGCTTCTTCTCCTTCTCGCATCCCCTGGGTGACCTTCCCTCGCAGCTCGATGAAGGCGGCAGCCCCACCGGCAGCAGGACTGGTCTCCGATACAACAGCGCGTTTCCCTTTCACGTGAAGCAGTGACAAGCTTCTGCCTGTGATCTCACGATTGTCCAGCAGCATGACTATGCGGCTCGCAGTGCCCTTGGCTCCCTCACTGCTTCCTCGGACCTGCCGGTGCTGTCGGTGATTCAAGTCTGATCAATCGGCTGATGAGCTTGCAGGAGCGGCAGAGGACAAGCCCGCGGGCTGAGGTGACGGAGTTGAAGAAGAAGTTCGAAGACGAGTCGCTGAGGAACCAAACCATCATCCTCGAGCTGAAGAGACGCATCGACGAGAACGACAAGGTAGATCGTGCTCGGAGTTGAAGGCAAGTCAGCTGACTGACCGCTCCTTCTGTAGGAGAAAGACGACTTGCACCAGAAGATCAAGCTTTATGCGAACTCTCTCGACGTGACATCAGGAAAGCTTCAGGCGTGTGAAGATCACTCATTCAGAATCTCAGCGAAATTGGAAAAGCAGTTCATCGAATTGAATGAGACCGAGGAATTGCTGGATACGTTCGGTGAATTCTTTCAAAGACATTCATTGCAAAGCGGCACATTCCATGCATGGGCATTCTTGGCAATGAATGGAAAGGAGGGATCAGACAGGAACGATCGCTTTCAAAAGGTCTTCGATAGAGCGGCACACGTCACTATGAAAACCCTCACCTTCTCCGCGCTTGACGAGATCCGCTCGCACAGGAAACACTTGTCTCTTGTTGCCAGGAGGAGATGCGAGAGGGTGCGGCAGCGACAAGTTTGGAAGGTCTTGAAGGGTAATTGGATCTCGAACAAACAATGCATGGAATGGAGGCAATGGAAAGAGAGCTCCCCAGCTGAGCTAGAAGAGCTCCGAGCGCAAACTGAAACGCAAATTGACAAGGTGAGTGAGCTGGACCCTCTCGCCTCGATCTGGCTGGACACGATCGTAGAGCTGAAAACTCTCGAGAAGCAGCACGAGAGGGTCAAGACAAAGATGAACATCGCAGAAGAATGCATCAAAAGCATGCGAGTCAGACGCGAGCATGACATTGAATCTGCTTTCTCTAATTCGAAGATGACGTACGAAGCCAGAATAGAATATCTAAACCAAATAATCCTCCAGGCCGCTGACGAATTCGAACGAGGACTGGATGGCTTTGCTTCCTCGCTCAGCTCATTGGAACGACAGATCGAGAGCAAGTCCGGAGCAACTCTATCGAATCACTTCTCGATGAAGCTGGAGCTGAGCCAACTGAAACTTGAGATGAAACATCTGAGCGAAGAGGCTGAAGCCCAGCGTCGGGCTCTCACGGCAGAGCTACAAGATAAAGACCTTCAGATTGAACTTCTGCACTCCAAGCTGAGAGAACAGCAACTTCACCTCGAGGCAAAAATGGAAGATCACATCACGAGTCAGGCAAACCTCACTTCCCAAATCGAAATGTTACAAGATGAACTTGAACAAAAAAATCTAGAAATTACACAATTGCAGCAGGCGATGGATGATGAAAAATCACATTCGCAAGCGCTGAACCTTCAGTTCAATGCCAAAGAATCCAGTCTGCAAGGAGAAATGATAGGTGATAGAACAAAGATTACAGAACTAGAAGCTCTGATACAAACTAAAGAAGATGAGTTGTTGCAAAACAACGAATTCTATCAGGAGTATACCCGCAAGTTACAAAGACAGCTCTGCTCCAACCAGGAGGAAAACAAAAGACAACAAGAAATCATAGCCGAGTTGCGAAGCAGTCAAGCAGCATCTCATTCCCATCGATCGTCACTGGAGCGTCTGGTTGCAGCTATCGATCAGATCCAGCAAGAAGTCAGCAGCATCCATCATGACGAAGAGATGTTGTGTCATGCCTGTACACACCCGAGTTCTCCCAACGGCCTTCCCTCCCACAGCCATGCGGAGCTTGAGAGAGAAAACATCGGCCTCAAGAAGCAGAACGAGGTCTTGTCGCAGGAGCTCGACCGAGCTTCCGAGGTACTTGATGTTGTCATGACTGGCTCTCATCGCCTGCTGCAGGCGCTGCTCAAGCGAGGCGACAACTTCTCCGAGTCGGTCAAGTCGCTTCAGCTCCAGCTGGAGGCTTCAGGGAGAGATCTGGAGATGTGCCAGGAGAAGGCGCGAACACTAAGAGCCTCTCTGTATCGGTCGGGAAAGGAACCTCCTGCACCTCTCGCTTGACTCGCTTGACTGCAGGGTCAAGGAAATCATCGAAGATGCGATACCAGATTGCATGAATGACACGGTGTTGGCGAAACTAATGGTGATGGAGCAAACGCAGCTGCCTAGTTCTCTGACGTGCTCATTCCAGCAAGGAAAAGATTTCCTCGAAGACGAGCTGTCGTCGTCTCTATTGATTTCATCGCCTAAACGAGCAAATCGAACAGTAATGACAAGAAACTCTCAGAGAAGGATCAACGCCGCTGACGTAGGAATTCCTCAGGTCGAATCCTCCCACTTGGATGTTTCTGTGAAGCGTAGACTCGAGGAGATTTCTCTAGATGTCACAAGAGGTCGATGAACCACAACCTTAGCAACCTTCCTGACAAGTGACAAGCAGTGATGGAAGACTTGACTTCAGTGATCGTTGAGTCATCCAAGAGCGTGGATGCTTCTGCTTCCCATCGGGTACCTAGACGTATGCCCGCGTTCTCTTGTAACAGAACCTGCAGGATGTTGAAGGAGCGACCAGAACCAGCAAGTCGCGGGGCTTCTGCTTGAACGCGCACAGATCTTACTCGGACGTGCTGTTGGCATGGCGCGAGGCGACAGTGAGGAGCAGGATGAGTGGACGAAGGAACATGTTCAGCACACTCGAGTATTTCACGAACGCGGACGGATCTTTCAACGACTGTCTTGTTGCTGGGAGGTTCAAGAAGTCTGAGCTGGAGGTCAAGGCCGAGAAGACTGGGAGCGGAACCTTTGCGGACGTGTACAGGTCGGAGATCAGGTTCCCTTGCGTGACCAAGAAGATGCGAGCGATCTCAGGGTCCGATGATCTCAATTCGTTTGTGAGGGAGGGGGAGATGATGCGAAATCTGCGGCATCCCAACATAGTGAAGATGCTGGGCATTCACATTCACAACAACACTTACTCCTACGTGCTGGAGTTCGCGCAGGGGGTCAACCTCTTCGATTACCTTCACAAGATGCAGAAGTCGATCGCGTTCACGAGTCAGATCAAGATCCACCAGCAGGTCCCGACGGCTCTCCCTCCCTCTCTCCTCCCTCACCCCCCGCAGGTCTGCGATGCTGTCGCCTACATCCACTCAAACCGCGTGATGCACCGCGACCTCAAGCCGCAGGCACTTGGGCTTGTCGCTGTTTCTGCCGCTGCTCACTCGCTCTCAGAACATCATCTACCGCGACAGCTCCTCCTCCATCAAGATCTGCGACTTCGGCCTCGCCACTTTCATACCCGAAGGCCTGGACGAGGTTGACCCCATGCACGTCGGGACCGGAGGGACCCCCGCGTATCTTGCTCCTGAGGTAAGTAGCGACAAGACTCGAGCTCGAGGAGGCGAAGGCTGAGCAGAGGAGGGGAGGAGGAGCGAGATGACGTGCGAGCAGATTCTGAAGCGGAAGGCGGTTGGTTTCAAGGCCGACGCGTACAGCTATGCTGTCGTCATGTGGGAGACTTTCACAAGGAGGCTGCCCTGGGCAGACTGCAACCTAGAACAGGAATGTCTCCTCCTCCTTCTGATGCTTCTCTCCCTGCTCCCTCTGCTCCCTCTGCTCCCTCTGCTCCCTCTGCTCCCTCTGCTCCCTCCTCCTTCTTGTTTTCCTCCTACACCTGCCCTTGGCCTCATGCTTGCAATGTTCAGATGACCAACCGGGTGGTGCAAGCCAAGGACAGGCCTCGATGCCCTGCGGTGAGAGGAGGCGAGGAGGAGAAGCGCGTCTGACGTGCTGCCCTCCCAGGAGATGCCGCAAGATCTTTCACGTCTCATCGCCGACTGCTGGCACGATGAACCAGCCCGCAGGAAGAGCTTCGAGGAGATTCTCGAGTGTCTGAGGTTGGAGGAGAGAGGCGAGGGCAGCACAAGGAGCTGACTTTGAGGAGCAGGCAGATGAATTGAGCTCGATGGATTCACTTTATTCTTTCTCTCTAACTTGACTAGATGCACTATCTTAAGCGGTCTTCTCCTTGACGAAGCTGATCAAGTCTTGCTCAGTCTGCATTTCACCAGTCACAACCTCCCACAGCATAACGTGCGCACGCTCACCCTTCCACCCTGGTATGCGATCTGCTCGCCGGTCTTGAACAAGATGAGGGTGGGATAACCACGGATGTTGTTCTTGTTGCACAATCCGCTTTCGACCTGATCAAGGCCTCAGTCATTCTATTTCCTCCTCCCTTGCTCGCATCCGACTCACAGTGCAGTCGACGGTCGCGATCTTCACGTTGGGGATCTCAGCGTCAACCTTGTCCGCGAGTCTGCCGGTCACCATCACCAAACCCCCACCATGTCGCAATCAGTCGCCTCACGCGTGCCAGGTTGGCTCGAGGCGCTTGCAGTGGCCGCACCATGGGGCAAAGAACTTCACAAAGGTGGGCTGCTGCTCGACCTGAGCGTCGAAGGTGGCCTCAGTGAGCTGGACGGGAGCGGCGAGGACGCCAGCAAGCTGAAGGGCCACGAGAGCGAACAAGCAGTAACGGAGCATCTGCAGACATGTCATTTCTTGCAGGAAGGAATATCTGCTGTGGAGGTCTAGCAATGACCTCCACATAAAACTAGGGGATTTGCTTCTACTTGAACCATCCAGTAACAAGGATACAGACATGTTCAAAGAAACTCCATGGCATCGGCTGACGTGAACCATCTCTTCTCCTGCCCTACTCTGCCTTTGAATTGCTCGCGGTTGTCGATTCTTTCATTTATCGGAGCATTGTCCTGGGAGGGACCACTAGCGTCAAGAGACTATTCTGATACAAAACCATTTCTCGTTCATGGCATTGAGGTAGAGACTATGAACTAACATACTCGCTGAGTGAAAACACTATTCTCGAGAAATCTTTTGTTGGAAACCACTCTGGCCTTCAAGCTGCAAGATTGCATTCTTGCATGTCTTCCGACTATTTCGGCATGCACGTCTATCTTCTCCATGTTCTTCTCATTGTTCTTCCTGTTCATATCCTTCTCATCGACATCATCGACTCTTTCTTCCACTTCCTCCTCTCCTCTTCCATCCATCAATGTCCACCACGTCGGCATCGCGCCTCGCGCCTACCCCCACCCTCCCGTCTCCACCTCCTCGTCCCCGGCACTTGTACTCCATCACTACCCCTTGTTTCCATGTACCCCCATTTTGCCCTACCATAACCCCCTATTTATACGGTTAGACACTGACCCCACCCCTATAGCAAACCAACGTTTTTAACTACCCCCCTCTCCCCCTGCAGATCTTGCTGCAGGGGGTATTAACTAAAGTCCCCTTCGACATAAAACTACCCCAAGTTTCCCATGAAAGACTTTGGGGGAAAGGGGGTGGGTACACTGATGGGGTTTATCGGGGTGGGGTTGTGTAAGCTCAGGAAAGGGGTAGGCAGCTACTTTTGACCGAGCGAAAGTTCATTTGTGAGGGTGGGGTCATGTACCCCACCGCTACTTTGAGTCGATTTAGAGGGTAATTTCCAGGTGGTCTGACTTCAATAGACCACCCCACCCCTCTGAAGGAATGTAGTCTCTTGGCATATGAGCATAATTGCCAGTGCCCATCCCGAGTCCCGGGGGCCCGGCCCGCACTGAGGCCCCAGTGACGGTCATACCGCCGCGGCGGGCCCGGCAACTACAGACTCCGAGTGACTAGCCGTTGCGGACTCAGCCGGGGCCGGGACTAACTTGCCGTGACCGACTTGCCGTGACCGCACTGACTATTGTGACAGTGCCCGGCACGGTGACGCGGCGCGGCTACCGTTCAGCCGCGTTGAAGGATCATCATCCGGCGGAACTTCAGGGCGGCGCCGCCGAGTCCGACTGTGACTCAGCGGCGACATTTAGGGCCCTTGGCCCGTGGGGCCCCGGGGGCGATCACTCCTGGTACGCCGGGTCGGACCTCAGGCTGGCCTTGTGACTGCCACTGAACTTCGGCCGGTAGCCCCCGCACCTAGTAGTCAGAGATTCACAGTAACTTTTCAATCTTCAAAAGCCTTTTCAAAAGTTCAGCATTAGGCTTGTTGATCCGATCTTTACTCAACTTAGGTAGTCAGTGTCATTGAGTCATATGCCTGCTGGGCTAGTAGTGTGAGTATCATGCTCGGAGTCCTTCACGGAGTTAGCCGAGCCTGCCGCTTCCTCGCCTACAGTCACGCGGCGGCCGCGGGGGGGCCTCAGCTCATGCAAACCACTTGCTGGCCTGCCACGGTCGATCAAGAGAAGAAGAGAGAGCAAGGCCCGTCAGATTAGAAGAGGAGAGGAGGAAGAGGAGAGGAGAGGAGGGAGAAAGGAAGAGAGGGAGGGCTGTTAAGAACCGGTAGCTCGAAGGGGGGCGAGGCATCCTTGTTCTGTCAGCTGAAGTCAAGACTACAGTGGCGCAAGCGAGAGGAGGAGGAGGAGGACGAGGAGCAGAGGCCCGGAGGAGGAGAAGCAAGGAGGAGGAGGAGGGGGGTGAAACCTTCATCTTAGACTTGAGGATGTGCTGAGGTAGATGCTCAAGGACGGTCTCTGTGATGACAATGGACATGAGCGAGTGAGCCATCGTTGAGTTGCTCCTCCTCCTCCCTCTTTCCCCTCCTCCTCCCTCTTGCCCCTCCTCCGCCTCTTCCCCCTCCACTCCACTCCTCTCTCCTCTCCTCCCCTCTCTCTCCCCATCCGCTCCTCGCTTTTCCTCTCGCTTCTCCTTACCTGCAAGTTTGCTGCCCTTGGATGACCCGTCGCACTCTTCGTACGAGGCAAACTGAGAGGGGGAATTTGAGGACGCAGGAGGAGACGAGGAAGACGGAGGAGGAGCAGGAGGAGGGAGATGGGGAGGAGGGGGAGGGGGAGGTTGAGGAAATTCGGTGGAGGTGGAAGAGGCGCAGGAGGGGGCAGCATATGCCCTTCTACATCCGCCATCCTCTAGTCTAGATGTAGGTGACTCCGAATGGATCCTATCTCTTGATCATGGTCACCTGAGCTTGCGTAACCCGTCGCCTATCTTCACTCGAAGGATTCCTATGGGGAGTTTTGATACTTCCTGTCACGGTGGAT